TCCATAGCTTTACAGACTAGATTACCCCTGGGCCCCAGTGTGAGTCTGGATTGCCTTCCGAGCCCACAGCCCACATCTGGATTGCTATCGAGCCCACAGTACGAGTCTCCCTCAGCTCGTATCTGAAATGCTCCTGGGTTTGTTGGTTACCGCACGGAGCAGTTTCACCTCAACCCATCCCACATAATATGTCGACATATAACACAACTAATGCACAAATACTATGGGTCCAATCATCCGTCGGGATGGAATACCCTTAACTACCAGTCAATCATTTGCACACATAATAGGTAACCTCCTACCAGCATACAGACAGTCAGACCAACTACAGGTCTCTAAGCATAACCACATCCTCTCTACCAGGATACCGATCTATCATACCATACCAACATATAACCATCCTATCTACCAGGATACCGATCTAACATACCATAACAATATCAAATCCAAATACAAATCAAAGGGCCTTAGACCCTTAAGTACAGTGAGGATAACTCACCTTGCAATGCCGGACTGAACCATGAAATCACGCTCCCGAAACACTGCCCCAAGCTCCAACACCTATAACCATCAATGATCCAATTCATAAATACTCGCTTACCAATTATCCTCAAAAGTCAAAACGGTCAACCCTTGGTCAAAGTCAAAGTCAACTATCAAGGTCAACAGTCCATGTTGACCTCAACTCGCCAAGTACCCTCAGCTACTCGTCGAGTTCCTTGCATAACTTGCCAACTCGCCGAGTCACCATGCCACTCGCCGAGTCCAAGGCAATCTTCATCGGACTCGCCGAGTTGTTCATCCAACCCGTCGAGTTCATGACCATCTTCATATGACTCGCCGAGTCTACCATGCGACTCGCCGAGTCCCTTTAGTCCTTCATCCATACAGATGCTTTTTAAGCCATGCCAAGGCTCCATACTGCAGATCCAAGTTCCCAAGGCATGCTTATCACGTAAAGTTGCAAACTTTACGTACATGCAAGGCTCTAATGACTCAAAATGTCAAAACCAAGCTTGAAATGGGGTTTTACACTTAAGGAGGGGTTCATGCTTGCCAAAGCTGTTAGCTTTATGGACTTACAAATCAAAGAGAGTTCAGGTCTAAAGTTACAACTTCAGATCTGAGCTCATACTCAAGAATCGCTTCATAACTAAGCCAAGAAGCCCTAATTTCATCCAAAGAGATCTAGAAAGGAATGAGGCCAAGATCATGAATTGATACCTCAAATGAAGCTAGCTGAGATAGACTTCAAACCCACAACATTCTTGCCTCCAACTTGTTGATCTTCAAGCTTCTTGCATCAAGGTCTTCTTTCCAAGCTTGAAATTTACACTAATATGGAGCACACACACGAACTAAGGTTTATGGACTCTCAAGAGGCTGCAAAGGGACTAAGGGAGGCTAATGATCCCTTAAATAGGGTGCCAAATCCCGAAAATTAGGGTTTCACCCTCCAGCTCCAACTCGTCGAGTCACTCTTCCGACTCGGCGAGTTGGTCACTTAAACACGTGGCCCAAACCCGCTGCTACTCGACGAGTCAGGCAACCAACTCGTCGAGTAGATCTTGAATTCATAAGAATTTATAACCATCAATTGGCATTCAAGAATCAGGGCGTTACACTTAAGCAATGGGAAGAACGAGTTACAGATCTGTAAAGACGAAGCTCTGGTTTAAAGCGGCTCAACCATCGTCTTTTTCGAGTTGCAGATCGGAGCGGAGGGGGTTTCCAGTTGCTAGGTTTTGTAGTGGTGAATTGAAGTCGATCTGCAGGTGAGAGGGAAATGATCAGATTCGTCCTTCTTGATTGAGCTTGCAAACCCTCGTTTCAGAGTTGGAACAACAACATCGCCATAGAAGGAGAGATACGAGCGACTAAAACCCTAAACGGTGGTGGATCTAAAAAAACCGTTTGAGTTGCCATACGATGAGTGTCTCTCTCCCCTCTCTCTCAGAAGTTCGTCTAGTGACCTCGTCTCCTCCGGGTCGAATAAATGCTCCGGCGAGTGAGAGATTGAAGGTGGCTTTCAAGTTTTAGACATTGTGGTGGATTTGTGCAGGAGGATTTTCGTGGATTTGTGGATTTGTGTTCGCACAGTAAACACGCACTCAAATACAAGAGAGAGAGAGAGAGAGAGAGAGGGGAGTTGACCACTGGTGCGAGTCTAAACTAGAGGGGAGTTGACCACGGTAATTAAAAAAAGGGAAAAAAGAAAAATAGTAAGGGCAAATTTATAAAAAATTTTGAAAATTTTGAACCAAACTCGCAACAAAATCAAAATATTTGACCACTGGTGCGAGTCTAAACTTTTTTGGGCCAAACATGCGAGTTTTGACATACCACAGGGACCATTCTTGCAATTTTGTCTTCAACAAATTCTAATAGAATATTAGAATATTCTGACACATCTTAAATTCTAGTAGAATATTAGAATATTTTATAATATCTACCGGTTTTGTAGAATATTAGAATATTCTAACATTCTAAAAATTCGATTTGATTATTTACAGTGTAATAATCTATTAAAATATTTCACTTATATTTCGAAAAAAAACGGTAAATCTTTTTTTATTAATTTTTTTAGACAAATTAAATAACAAAAATAATATCTAATAAAAGAATTTTCTAATTTTTCCTTTTATTTTATGTTTTATACTTTTTTTTTAATTCGTGTCCCCATGTCTCACAAAATTAGTATGGTCTCAAATGAACCTCCATCTCTCTCTCTCTCTTTATATATATATATATATATATATATATATATATATATATATATATATATATAATTGAAAGAAGCGATAATATGATGGTCTCTATATATTTTACATAAAAGTAAATACACCATTTGTTCTCATATATAATTCATAATCTCCCTATTCTAATAAAAGAATATGTTTAATCTCCTATTGACAAGTGTCATACAATTATAACTCCTCATTAATGTTATATATCACCTATCATGCCACTTGTCAATCTATTAGTTATCCATTTCAAATTTTAAATTTTAAATTTCCACTCTAATTACATGAAATTAATATTTGATTATCCATTTCAAATTTTAAATTTTAAATTTTCCACTATAATTACATTAAATTAATAATTGATTCTTCATTTTAAATTTCAAATTTTAAATTTTCTCACTTTAATTATATTAAATTAATAACATTAGATTGAAAAATAAAATAAGATTAAAAGGTGATATAACTTCACGTGTTTATTTAAATCAACTATTATAATTTTATATAAAACTAAAAAAATATCTCTTAAGTAATAATTTATTTAAAACAATTGATTAATAATTTTGATTTTATAACATGAAAGTATAATTAATTTTATAATCATGGTTCCCACGGGTTATAAACTCGTTCATAATACAGAGGAAGGCAACCACCTAAGTTAAAAGCCTAAAGACAAATATATCTCCAAGAAGTTTCGCCCACCACAAAAAGAAAAGCAAAGCTTAATAATTGTCAAACTTCCAGCTCCAGCTTTAGAAATAAAGCATAGCTTTTTCTTTCCTTTGGTGTAACCGATTGTTTTTGAACATATCTATATTTATCAAAATGAACTTCATTACTTAATCTATGATTTTTCTTTTTACATTTTAAGAGCTCTTTATATTTTCAAAAGTTGAAACTTATAGCAGATGCGACGATGTCAATGTTATCTTAGTCTCACACAAATGAGGTAAATGAAATGGCCAGTTACCCAACCATAAGATCTGGAGACTGTTTCCGTAAAAGATTTTCATCATATAGAAAACTAAAACAAAAATATATAAAAATATATAAAAATTTATGCATACAAAATTCCAGTCCGCAATTAATAATAAGGTTTTGTGTGTCCGAAAAAAGATTGTTTTACTTGCCGACCCTTGCCCTTCTTCCGCTATTGACTTGTCGTTTGCGTTCTCTAGATCATCCAAAAGGTAATTTTTCTTTAACTCTATGTTGTACATTGATCCACTGTGCTTTATCATATTTCAACATGGACGCCACACCCAAAGAATTCATAATTATTGTGTTTGGTATCATGTCTAATAAACTCTTTAACACATGTTTATCATAACTTTCTCATTTATACGGTCTCCTATGGACATGCTTGTTGAAGAGCAACATTGAGTTTTTCATGTCCAACGTCTTACTACATGTCCGCTACAACATTCTCATTTCTCTGGCCTCCTATGGACAAATACAACATTGAGTTTATTTTTATGTCCAAAAACATCTTATCATATGCCTACCGCAACATTCTCATTTCATCTTCACTCTCTTAATTGCAACACTCGGTTATGTTATCTACTGTAGACATGTCCAAACCATCTTCTTCTATGTTGTTTCTTAATCGGCCAACATTCAAATCAATAAAATAAAATTGACCTTATCATCACCTTATAAATTTTTTCTTTTAAGTGAACTGTAACACAACCCCATTTTAACCCTTCCACTTTTATGCAGTGTGTCATGTCATCATCAACACATCTTCCTTATGAATCATAGATATTTATTTATAGAAAACCTATCTTGATTAGAACACTTACCTTCCCCTACAAGTAAAAGAAAAGGTAGAAAACCCCACTCTCAAAGATATGTACTTCTATATGTGCTTTTGGTTGGCAAAAGGTTAAAGTCTCCCAAAAACCCAATATTTCATGAAAGCGGGAATTTGTTATATTAAATTCCTTAAAACCATTTGTTTTCCAAAAGAAAAAAGAAAAAGCAATTACAAAATGTTATACATTTAGAATCCAGTATGGTGCTATTGTGTTTTGTGTATGCGTTCTTTTCTTCTTTACAAAGCAAAGCTTCATGTGGGTAGGATCTTTCCTCTATAATTTTATGCTTTCAGTTTGAATCAAAGGGTTTGATTCCAATATGCGTTAATCGATTTTGCTTTTTTCAGTTGAAGGTTTCTAATTAAACCCTTTTTCTTTACCTCCTTCCATTTCTCAATCATCCTTCATATTTTTTCTGGGTTTGAAACTTTAAGAAAGATTCATGCATATTTCACTTCCATGTCTTTGTCTAAATTGTTACAAAAAGAGCAGAAGGAAGGATCAGTCTAAATCTAATCAATCCACACATGCTATCAAAAGAAACCCATCAGATGTTAGAAAATTGCAAGAAAATAAACTCAAAGCGGCTCTTCAACAAGCATCTGATCATGGGTCTCTTGTTAAACCCCAAAACATGGATGTTTCAGAGTCCATTGACATGGAAAACAAGAATTTGGGAAGATCAAGATCGCTCGCAAGATTAGAAGCTCAAAAAGAGTTTCTCAAAGCAACTTCTCTAGCTGCAGATACAACATTCGAGACTGAAGACTCCATTACTAATCTCCATGAAGCTTTCTTGAAGTTCCTAACCATGTATCCAAAGTACAAGTCTTCTGAGAAGATTGATCAGTTGAGGGTTGATGAGTACTCACACTTAGCTGACGATGATTCTAAGGTGTGTCTTGATTACTGTGGATTTGGGTTGTTTTCATTTCTTCAATTCGTTCATTATTGGGAATCCTGTTCGATTAGTTTGTCTGAAATTACTTCAAATCTGAGCAATCACGCACTATACGGTGGTCGGGAAAAAGGTACAGTTGAATACGATATAAAAGCTAGAATCATGGATTACTTGAACATCCCTGAGAGTGAATATGGTCTTGTGTTTACTGTTAGTAGAGGTTCTGCTTTTAAGCTTCTAGCTGAATCATACCCATTTCATACAAATAAAAAGCTGTTAACGATGTTTGATCATGAGAGTCAATCAGTGAATTGGATGGCTCAACGTGCTAAAGAGAAAGGAGCCAACGTTCATAGTGCTTGGTTCAAATGGCCTACGCTTAAACCATGTTCAACCCATCTGAGAAAACAGATTTTAAACAAGAAAAAGAGGAAGAAAGATTCATCAACAGGTCTCTTTGTGTTTCCAGTTCAATCAAGAGTCACCGGAGCAAAGTATTCTTACCAGTGGATGTCATTCGCTCAGCAAAACAACTGGCATGTGTTGCTTGATGCAGGTGCGTTGGGTCCCTTAGACATGGATTCACTAGGGCTATCTCTGTTTCGTCCAGATTTCATTATCACTTCGTTTTATAAAGTTTTCGGGTATGATCCTACTGGATTCGGATGCCTTCTCATCAAAAAATCTGTGATTGGAAGCCTTCAGAAGCAATCTATTCGTAGTAGCTCGGGTATAGTGAAGATCAGTCCAGTGTATTCTTCGAATTTGAGTGATTCCATGGCCGGATTCCCTCAATTTGGTGAAACGGGAGACGACCAAGTCACCGGAGAAGATGAAGTTATGCCGGAAAGCCATAACGGAACTCAGCTACGAGCTTTTTCCGGTGCATTAACTCCTTCTCAAGTGAGAAAAGTATACGAAACAGAGATCGAACATGGTATTGGTGATAGCCCTGTTTTTGAAGAAACAGAAATCTTTTCTGTCATGAAGACTCCTGTTTTTACTGAAGATGATTCACCTGAGGACTCGATGTGGATCAATTTAGGCCAGACTCCACTAGGATCGCAGCCTGATAACATTAGCTCGTCTTTACCTCCACCATTTTGGTTTACAGGCAAGAAGAGAAACGACAATGTGAGAAGAGTAGACAAATTTGAAGCACAAACTCAAGAAGGCGAACAGAGAGTACATAGTCCAGAAATCCAGGAAGAATCCGCAATCGAGGGTTCTTCTATACGAAGAGAACCCGAAAGGGAGTTTAGATTACTGGGAAGAAGGGTATCGTCTGGTTTAGATGATAAAGATGATTACATCAGCGATGAAGAATATTATGAAGGTGAAGAATCCGATCGAAGGGAACCTGAGGTAATATGTAGGCATCTTGATCATGTCAACACATTAGGGCTCAGCAAAACGACATCCAGGCTTCGTTTCTTGATCAATTGGCTTGTGACTTCATTGCTTCAACTCAGATTACCAGCTTCAAATACAGATGAAGACTCCATTCCTCTCGTTCAAATCTACGGGCCCAAAATCAAATACGAAAGGGGCGCATCTGTTGCGTTTAACGTTAGAGATAGAATCACAGGGTTAATTCGTCCTGAAATCGTTCAAAAAATGGCGGAGGGAAATGGGATTTCTCTGGGTGTTGGAATTCTTAGTCATATAAAGATTATACAAAGCACGAAGCAGACTGGGGCTATGGATTATACTGATACAACGCTTTGCAGACCAATGGAGAACGAGAATCATGATGAAGGTGGAGGAGGGTTTGTGAGAGCTGAAGTTGTTACTGCTTCACTAGGGTTCTTGACTAACTTTGATGATGTTTATAAATTGTGGGTTTTTGTGGCCAAATTTCTTAATCCATCCTTCATAAGAGAGTATGGACTTTCACCTGTTATGGAAACCCAAGAATCTTGAAGCCTGATTAGATTTTTCAATCTTTTTTGCATTGCAAGATATCCCATTTGGTTTGGGTATCAATTTTTTCATGTGGGTTCAGGTGACAGATTGGGTTGATCTGTAAATAAAGGAAAGTCAAAATCAGTGTTGACTTTGACTACAATAGATAGGCATATTGCTCCTTGGGTAATCTCATTTCTAGAGTTTCTCTTTCTTCTTCTTCTTGATAAATCGTGAATCAACAAAGGAATAAACCGAAAGCAATCTTTGGCACAAATGTTGTATTTGATTCCACAAATACTTATAATATTTTTGCATTACATTTCCATATTTTCATATAGGTTATAAAATAGTCAATGTGGAAATAACACAATCAAACACCAACGATAAATATGATGATGCTTGAAAGTTGAAACTTAAGAAATCAATATGAAGAACAATAGAACACCACGAGATATAAAATGGAAAACCTAAATCGGGAAAATCACTATGAAAACGACACTCTTATTAAGAAGTTGTATTGCTTATAAATCTCCAAGAAATGAGAAGACAAATAAGATGAATGGAATGAATAGAAGTTGACAACTTAGAAACGCAAGAAATCAACACGAAGAACAATAGAACACCACAATATAAAGTGGAAACCTAATTCGGGAAAAACCACTATGAAAACGACACTCTTATTGAGAAGTTGCATTGTTGATAAACCTACAAGGAATGAGGAGAGAAAGAAGATGAATGGAATGAATAGAAGTTGACAACTAATGGCAATAGTCTTACAAGAATTGTAGCCTAATACTAATCCCATGATATTTAGGAAACATTTATATTAGATAGCTAACTTGATAGCCAAGCAAATAAGGTTTATGATCGTTATCAACAAAGTTCCCCTAGAGATGAAATCGATCTTTAGCAAAAAAAAACTTCAAAAGAAGACCCAAGTCAAAATAAGTAGTGCCAAAAGTCTCTAATGACTAAACTCACTCGAACCACGTAGATGGAAAACCACGGTGATAAATCAAATCACCAAAAAAACGTCACTAGACACGAACCTTCAAACATCAGCGCAAGTACCTCAAAAAAATCTTCAAAGTTTTATAAATGCATCAAATAAAATTGTAATAATGTCAAACCGATCGTGCAAAATTTTTTGTGTATACCATAGCAACAACATGCTATTGAATGCACTCGCTAACTGAAACCAATACTTTCAAATCAGGCTAGCTCTATCCAAAATTAAAGATGAAATATTAAAGAAGTAAAAACTTCAAATTGAATGTCATACGACATAATTGTCTTTCGACCAAAATACATTTCGGTGTCATAATACTTGAAAAATACTTTTCGGTATTAAAGTCTTGAAAATATCTTACGATATTAAATGCTTGAAAATACCTTATGGTACTAAAGTCTTGAAAATATCTTATGATATTAAAGTCTTGAATAGGTCGGATGACCTTTGAATAAGTTTTTCTTCAACATTCAAGTAATAAAAGCTCAGGATCCCAACACTCTCAAAACCGAAAGCCTTTAAAAGTCAACAACATAAAGGATAATAGCTTAGAAACTCAAAAAAGGGTTCAATCCAATGAAATTCAAGAGATTTAGGATGATTCTGGAAATCTCTACTCTAAAACAATCCAACACATTATCATAATCTATCATCTTCACTTCACAAAATGGAAAAACTAGTACCACAGTCCAAGAGAGAAAGTCATATTTAATTGTAGACATGAACAAAATTAATCGAATTTAAAATAACCTTAAGAATGTCAAGGTAAAATCAATTTACGAAAGGGTAGAAAAAAAATAATCTATAAGAGTCGAAAATTGTATTATGTGGATTGAAAAGAAAAAAACAAAAACAATTTGTAAATGATGAATATCGAAAGTGACCACAAAAAATAGATAAGATATCTCTTAAGAACAATCCATAATTAGGGTTTAAAAAAAGTTAATATCTTATATATTTGAGTTTTTTCCGGATTAAATGTCAATTTTTTTTCTTAATTATTTTTTTCTATTTTTTCCGATTTAACCTTTACAACTCTTTTTAAGAATTACTCCTTACACTTTCATTTTTTTTTTGTTGATTTAGTCCTTACATTGTTTAATTTTTTCGGATTAAACCTTAGCATTATTTTTTTCTAAAAAATACCCTTACGTCTTTGCTATCTTAGAATAGTTTGTGCATCCAGTTTCATAATTTCATAGCAGATGTTTTCAACTTCACTTCATGGTGGTTTGAAATAAATCTAGAAAGTGGTCCTATAAATCCATTGGTTGACTATTGGTCAAGAACATTGTAAGTCCATGTAATAATATGGAAAGTGCAACCCAAGATGCGCAATGATCATCAGTTTAATCAATGGTTATCTACATTAAGTTTTTTTTATGTTGGTTATGGCGAAAGAAGAGTAAAACTTGTTCTTTTGGCTTTTTTATTCTCAATAGAGAGTCATAGGATTCTATGATGGAAGATGAGAAAAACAAGAAGATAAGAGGGATAGCATCCATTGGTGATAAGAGGAAGATGGGAGGGGTTGTTCTTATTCCATCATCAAACCCTATGGCTCCTAATGAGAATAGCATTTGATCATACCGATGATTGTTACGCATCTTGGGTTGAACTTTTCCAGATAATTACATGTGCCTACAACGTTCTTCAGCACATCAATGATGTCACATGGAAGAGAAATTTATGCAGTCGTCAACGCACTAGGGGTCATCCAACCTAGGCCACACAATGGGTAGTGAACCTCTACTTGTGAACGTCAGTATTATCTATAAATCTACTCACAAACAACAAGCAACATCCATTGTCAATTTGGGTACACGAGACCACAAACTCACACACATCCTAACATGATATGCATGTATGCAACAAGTAGGATGTCAAAATCTCTTTTTTCAAAATCAACATTTTATCTTTGTAATAACCAAAAGCATTTCTGAAAAATATAATTTCATGAATGCACAAATAATCCTCATACGGACAACTAGTAACCAAGTATATGTTAAATAGTTTTAGAACACAAAATCAATAATATGGGATGTATGCTCTCGGTAACTTAAAATATAACAAAAGGGAAATTGTAACCATAATACTAAAGAGTAATGTAACAATTGGTAAAATATGTCAACAATTGCCGCTCAATCGGCGTGAGCGTTACTATAATTAGACTTATTGTACAATACATCAGTGTTTATTAAGCAAGTTTAAGTGGTATTATACTTAATCTCTCGAGAAGTAATCTGTTTTGGAACTCAAAAACTTATGGTTATCAACCGAGTTCATTTTAAATGCTATTATATTCCAATGAGGAACTGATTTAAAGAAAACTATGGAATTATAAAAAAATTGAACGCGGAACTTTAAATTATGGATTTTGACATCATTTATACTAGTGGAAATTATAACGTCCCATTTTCACAAAAAAAAATCATTTTTATTATGGTAAAACATCACAATTATAAAATCCATGTTAAGAAAAAATTTATTCCAAATTACATTTGTTGAAAATGAGAGTAATATGATAAACGCAAAATCCTCAATGCTACTAATAAGTGTGCACAGTCACGCCTTCGTCATCCCACAATCAGCGATTGAAGCTGAAAACCATAAACAGTTGGGTAAGCACAAATCTTAGTGAGTTCCCCAAAATAGCACACACCGCAAAACATATACAACATGCATATTGGGTCCACATTTATCGGACTGGATAACCCCGGGTTTGTTGGCTTGCTGCCTCAACCCAACCGCTCCCCGGGTTCGTTCCAGCCGCTCCTCCCGAGCCTTCATGCCTATGGCTTACAACCGGTCCACATTTAACATCAAAAATTTCAAACCAAAATTTTCATTTCTAAAACCATAGTGTAACATCCGGATTTCCAGGTATCATAAATTGAGTATTTATTTTTGAGTCAAGGAGAGGGACTCGACGAGTTGACGCCTAGACTCGTCGAGTAGGATCGCGACTGCTGACTAGGATTAATGAATGGACTCGACGAGTCAGAGGATCGACTCGACGAGTCCGCGCTGTGGACAAAAACCCTAAATCTTTGGGCCTGTGCCCTATTTAAGGGTCCTTATTGCCTTCATTTGCGGCCACCCTTTCAGAGAAAAGAACCCTAGCATATTTGAGCGTGTGTAGTGAGAGAGAGAGCCATCTTGAACCATTTGTTGTGATTTTGCTAAGGAGGAGAAGTGATCCAGCAAGAAGGACCAAAGGAGGTTGTTGTTCTGAGACTTTCAAGCAAGGAGGCTTCACTTTGAGGTAGCAATTCGGCCCTTTTCTTCTTTATTGTGTAGGCTTCTTGAATCAAGGGTTTCTTTACCCTTTCTTGAGTTGGAATAAGAGCATGAGAGGTCCCAATGTGAAATAGACCTTAGATCTGGACCTTGAGAGGTCCAGAGAGCCCCAAACATCCAGCTTTATGCATTCCCTTTTTGGGTTTTAGATCATGGTTGTCATATTAGGGCTAATTTATCATATAGAGCCATATGAGTGTTGCATGAGCATAAAGTTTGGACCTTTACGTAACTTTTGAGTGTTAGAAGGCCAAATCTATAGGTTAGAGAAACAGATCTGACCTCAGAAGGTCGTTTGAGCATTCTCATGGAAAAAACTCGCCGAGTCCATGAGCGGACTCGACGAGTCGGATCGTGTTACACCACGATTCGTGATCAGTGGTAACCCGTCGGTAGAAAGGTTAACTCGACGAGTCGAGTGAGGCCTTAGGAGGATTCAGAGGACACACATGGACTCGCCGAGTCACCCGAGTGCACTCGACGAGTCTGGTCAAAGTTGGACCGTTGACTGGGGTTGACTTTTAGGGTTTGGTCAACATTTGGACATTGGACCATTGGAGGGGTAAAATGGTCTTTTCCCCTTCTGAGAGAATATAGGGAGGGACTAGTCTAGCCTTTCAGAGCCGTATTAATTAGAGATAATTACTTTATGTGATTAGGCGGAGGCTAGATCAGATATTCGAGTTCGAGACTTTCCGAGATTACC